GCCCGCCCCGGTGACCTTCAGGGCCCGGGCGACGGGCGTAGGCCCCGGCGTTGGCGGCGGCGGCGGCGCGATGTTCGTGCAGGAGGAGAAGATCTTCGCGGGCAAGGTGCTGCGGCTGCACATCTGCGCGTCCGACGGCTCCGAGTGGCTGGAGGAGGCGACCGAGGACACCTTGGTGGAGAAGCTCAAGGAGCGCTGCCTCAAGCACGTAAGTCTGGCCGTGGTTCCAGGCCTTCCCCACTCCCTCCGCGCCTTTTCCCAGCCGCCCCTCTTCCAGGCCCTCGACACCCACTAGACGCGCCTCCGCGAGCCCGGCACCGGGCTGGGTACTTTACCCTCCACCCTCTGGTTTAACTTCGACAGCAACCCGGGAGGCGGGGGCTGGTCGGGAACGCAAGCTCTGAGAGGCGAAGTCGTCGCCAGAGCGGTGCCTCACGCGTTTCCAGCATTCGTGTTTGTTGCTGGAGTAAGGTTCTTCATTTGTCAGCAGCTCCCCCAGGAGCTGGGAATTAGTGTCCGAGGAAGTAGGGACCCGCAGTGGAGAGGCGCCTTCCCCTGGCCTGCAGAGCCGGCTGCTTGGAGCTGTTTCCTGCTGGCTGGCGTGTGGGCTGGGGCCTGGCTCTGGCTGTTTGTGCCTCGAATAACTTAAAATAGTGCGGCTGCGGGAGCCGTCCCTGCGGCCTTTAAATTGATTACATGGGTAGGTCCAGGAGAAGGAGCTTTGCGCTGAGAGGACCACTTTTTAAAGTTTGTTCACCTGAAATACTCCTTGCACAGTTAGGTCCTTAGGTAACTAACTTTTGGAACTAGTTCTTGATGGGTTTATTTCTGTAAACTTCTTGTCTCCATGAGTCGCGCTAAGACATCTATTTGCCTGTCTGACTGCCTAAGGAAACTCTGTCCTTGGCATGATGTCGTGTCTCCATGTCAGAACTTAGGACAAAGAAGGCCACAGCCTCTTAGTGTGCACTTCATGTGATAAATTATGTATCTATTAGTGTGGTCTCCAAGAACAAACTTCTTACTGTTATACTGACTACCCACAAAGATGCTTTTGGGTCACTTTTGTGAGTATGGTTCTGTGGAGTTGTCAGGGGCAGGCCAAAGAGTATTCTGGTTGCCATAGCCCCCTTCTGGAACATGCTGGATGTGAATAACCATCTTGGTCTCACATCAAACAGGAGGGGGATCCGTGCTCTCATGTTTGGGCAGGTATGTTTTGGCCACTTTCTTCTTTTACTTCTGACATGGCTGAATGATGTCATCATCCAGAAAACCATCAGTGCGGCACTAAGCTGGAAGGCTGGGGGCTCCGTGAGCATCCAGGCTATTAGAGTTAGGCATGGTGCTTGTCTAGTTGTGTGCACTTTTTATAAACCTCCCTGAGATGCTGTGTCTCACCCACTCAGGATGGGAGGTCCTCACAAGCTGGATTTGTATTTACACAGCCAGGGCCAGGCTCTTGGTGGGCCCCGAACAAACATGTGGATTAATGGAATACAGACACACCTCTGAGACACTGCGGGTTCAATTCCAGACACTGAAACAAATGAGTATCACAATACGGAGTTACACGAACGTGTTGGTTTCCCAGTGCATGTAAAAGTTATGTTTACACTATAGTCTGTTTTGTGTGTAATAGCATTATATCTATAACAAAGCAAAACAAAACACAATGCGCATACTTAATTTAAAAATAACGCCATTGGAAAAATGGCACCAGTAGGCTTGCTGGATGCAGGGTGGCCACAATCCTGCAGTGAAATGAGGCTTGCTAGTGAATTTCAGGGTCACTTGGTGTTAATTAGGCAGCTAAGTTTGATATGATGGTAATTGTTACAATCCTGGTATTTATTGTTCCAGTCAGTATTGAGATGTGTCATTTGGGATCTTTTTCTGACATTACCCCACTTTGAAGTGAGATTTTATTCCACTCTGCAGTCTCTCCAAGTGTGGGGGTCCAGCCAGCAGGGGAGTTTCACACCCAAAGAGCTGCCATAAATTATGGGACTCAGAGTTGAGGCTTCAGAACATACTCCCTCCATGCCCACCCTGTTCTGTGAGCCCACTGCCTTGTGAGCCAGGCAGGATGAGTTAGTCAGGAGAAGGAATTCTCAAGTTATGTACTGGAACGTCTCCTGGAAACCAATCCCTGAACGTCATGTTGCTGCCGGCAGTGAGGTCGGGTGTGTGCCTGCCCTGCTCCTCCTTCCCAGTTTTCCCTATGTACACGAAGGGAATTCTTTTTTCCTTCCTCTTTCCCAGAGTAGCTGATGGGGGCACTGGTTTCTTCCCCTCCCAGTATTCCTGGGAGTTGTTTATTTTTTATGTATTTTTATTATACATAAACTTTTAATCAATAAAATTGCTTTATTAGTGAGGGTTTATTGTCCTAACTCTTTCAGAAAGGGGTTGCTATTGTGGCCTTTCCCTTCTTGGTTTTATATAGATTGGGATCACCATGACGGTCTCTAGGCCGGGCTTGCAGAAAGGGGCAAAGTAAAGCCTCCTGTGTATGGGGGGTTAATGCTTTTAAGAAAATCACACCTGCGATGTGATGGCGTGTTTCTGTGTGTGGTACACTTGCGTGAAGTTGGCAGGCCATAACTTGCTAGTGTGGCAGTTAACATGTTTTAGATCACATGAAGATGTGCCTTCAAGTGAAGATGTGCGTGAGGGAACCCAGCCTCTGCCCTTCTGGGGAGGAGGCAGGTCGGTGGGTGTCAGAGCCCCTGCCCCGGCGAAGGGCTTTGTTGGGGCTTCGTTGCTGCCTTATCGCAGCTTGGTCCCAGTGCTCCTGCTGAGAACAAAGACACAGAACGAAATAACTGCTGCACTGTGGGCGACTCACACTTACGTTTCGTTCCTGTTGACACATGGCGGAGTACAGTTTTTCAGGAACCAGTATGAGGACTGTTTTGGAAAACTGTGATTCATAGACTAGATTCTGAACTTGGCAAATCAGCTAGCCTGCAAATTTTAGAGTTAGAAGAAGCACACCCAGTATTTCTGGGAGCAGAGCCATTGTGGGATTCAAGGGAAGGGGGCGTTCTCTGTCATAAATGATCAAAGTATATCTTACTGTTGGCTGGATTCCACCTTTGTCCCCCCATTCCTCCAACTCCAGGCTTCCCAGTTCTGTGTGCACGTGGGACAGCCCTTGAAGCCTTTATGATCCTTTTTTCCTGATTTCAGTGGTAGAATAGCGAGAATTCTAGTTGCTTGTAAATTGCCGGAGTCAAGAGGTGAAATACACCTTTAGTTTTTCCTCTCTTTTAGTGAGCATGTGTGTGTGGTGGGTTTCTTTGAGCCTCTGGGTGGCAGAGGGAGGTGATCAGGTGGCCCTGCTTAACCTGAGGGAGGCCAGGAGGACCGTGGCACCAGGGTTCTGGGGCAGGCAGGCCCCCAGGGTTATGGCACGTCCTTCCAGCCTGGACTTCAGTACTCGCCCCTGGTGGGTTCTTGGGTTGCTGGGTCCCTGATCAGGGAAACAGCCATGTACCAACTGACCCCCTTCCAACTCCCAGGAGGGGCCTCGCTAGCTACACCTGTTACTTGCTTTAGGGTCTCTGCGGCTCGCGCTGGCTGAGCTAGGGGCTAAGCTGGGGCCGGTCGTGTTTCCTTGGGGTTTTGTGGGTGTTTAAATGGTCAGGCCCCTAGTTCTTGCTCTCTGTGGACCAGCCTTCTTTCTTTGCTGTCTCTTGGCTCCCTTCCGTTTATCTGTGGAAGAAGGAAAACAAGTGCACAGATCGCACTGTCTTTAGATTTTCGGGGAACGATGGACTTGCTATTTTCATTTCTAAGTCACTTTCCAGGCTAGTTTACCAACAGAGTATCTTATGTCAGAGCTGTGAGTGTGTTTAGAGGCGCTTAGCAGGTTGGTGCACAGATCATTGCCCCTGGGGACCAGGTGTTGTGGCATTTGGTCTGGCTTCCACCAGTGACAGGAGTTCTTTGATTTCATTTATGCTTTAATTCCTTACCTAGTGAAAAACCCAGTAAATTCCTGGCATGACTTGGGATGACAGGTCCTATGTTATTAGTATTGTGATTTATCTGCAATCTTGAAATACATTCTATGATTTCCCCCCCCAGTGTGCTCATGGGAGCTTAGAAGACCCCAAAAGCGTCACCCATCACAAATTAATCCATGCTGCTTCAGAGAGAGTGCTGAGTGATACCAAAACAATCTTGGAAGAGAACATCCAGGACGAAGGTAAGCCCTCCCCAGGGGCAGCAGTGAGCAGGGCGCCACCCGGGGCAGGGGACCCGTGGGGACAGGTGCTCTCCGCATGGAGGTTGCTGCTCCGAGTTGGAGCTGAACTGGGAGACTCGTCAGAGAACAGAGTGTTTGTGGGAAAAGCAGACCTGAATTTGAACAAGCGGCACGCGTCTGAGAAACCCACTGTGAGCTTCATCATTAATTTTGTCCGTGGTCTCCAGAGCTGCTGCAGGCTTTCCTTTGGGGCTAGGATGTACAGTTGTGGCATTCGTCTCGAACTTCTAGGAAGGTGTTCTTAATGTGCACGTGTCTGTCTAGTACCTGAGAGCTTTGTGTGTGGAGGTGCTTGGGAAGAAAACTTTGGTTTTCTGGATGTCATTCAAAGCATAATTTTAATTCTGGGACTCCCTTAAGTAATCTGTTCTGGAATTACTGGCGTATTGTGTGCAGACCTGCCTCAAGTCTGGTTGAGAGGCCAGAACTAGCTGGGAGCTGACCACACTGTGGACTGTGGCCTGACTGCACCCCAGGTGTTTAGCTCTGAGGGTTAAGTCCAAACACTCCAACCTCCCAGACTTTCCAGACAGAGCCCTTAAAATGAGAACACTGGTCAGCTCTGGTGACCCACAGCCAGGCTCCTGCCAGGCCTGAGCCTGTGGGTGAGCGGGGTGTACAGACGTGGGAGCCAGGGGACGGGGACCTGTGGGGTTGCTCCGGGGAGGAGGCGCCGGGGACCCCTGTTCCTGCATCCTTGGGTCATCAGGCACCGTTACCCTGCGGTATGAGTACAGAATGATAACCAGCGTGGTGGGCTTCTCCCCAGATGTCTTGCTGTTGATAAAGAGGCGTGTTCCAGCTCCGCCCCCTAAGATGGCTGATGTCTCAGCAGAGGAAAAGGTGAGTTTCAGAGTTGGGAGTTGGAGGGCTTTGTTAGTGGAAGCTCCCTTCAGTGAAGACTGTGGACAAGAAATGTCTGTGTGCTAGTGTCCGCGGACCCTGCTGGTCCCAGAGTCACAGAAGGTGTGGGCACCAGGGCCCTGTGTCGTGGCCAGCCTGCTCACTGATGCCGGCTCCCAGGAGCACCGGCTCCACCTTCGGGGCCGCAGAGAAGAGTGCGGCCCATTCTTGAGGTTGGGTTTACCTCTCAAGTCCTGTCCTTCCTCTCCTCAAGCGGGTCCCAATAGAAAAAGGTCAGAAAGTCATTCAGGATCACCCGCGAGACAAGGAATACGAACGCAGCGGGGGTGGCAAAGGAGCACTGAGGCCCTCCCCAGGAGCACTGACCCACTCCAGGGAGTCACTTCCTGGAGAGGCCAGGGTGGCCTGCAGAGTGGTACGCTCTACAGCACAGCACGGGAACGCCACGGTCTTTGCTGAGCTCAGGATGCGGAGTTTCTTACTTGCGCTTTGAAATGCTGGGAGGCCATTCACCCCAGAGAAAGGCCACACTCGTTGGGCCTGGGCCTGGGCCTGATAGCGGAGCGAGCTATTTTAGGGTCTCCTCTGGGGCAGGCGGCACAGGAGGGGGCCCTTCTTATCTGCAGCTGCACCTGCCACGGTGCAGGCAGGCACGTGGGCAGGCCACTTGCTCCACCTCCAGCCATCCCTGACTCAGGCCCGCTTCCCAGAAGTGCTAGGGCGGACCCAGTTCTCCGGTTACAGTTTTGATCGTTGGTGACTAGGTGAGCCTTGGTGACTCTGTGAATGCTCTGGGTAGCTTGCAGGGTGCTGTGGCCTTCACCTTTTCTCTGGGCATATTTGCAAAATGAAACATCGTAAAATGCTAATGCCTAGTTTTGTGAATTATTATTAACTTTGGGGGGGTAATTAGGTTGATTGATTGATTGATCTGTTTATTTTAATGGAGGTAGTGGGGATTGAACCCAGGACCTCGTGCATGCTAAACAAGCACTCTAACATTGAGCTCTACCCTCCCCCCGAATTATTATTAATTTTTAAAGTCAAAGCAGCACATGTATTTAAAAAGTCAGAGAATGAGACACACCTTTTAATAAAAATCAGTAGCTTCGTGTCCCCGCTGAGTCCTGCACCTGGAAGGCCGCCACGCAGGCTTCTCCCACCTGTTTCTCCAGTAATTCTCTTCCTGACTTCCCACACTGTGCAGTCTTGTAATGTCTTGGATTATCAGCTTTAGACTACTGGGTTCTTGGTGATCTGGGCGTGGACCCTCGCCCCCTACGATTGTTAGATCATAATGTTGGTTGAAGACTCAGAACCTCTGTTGTTGTTATGTGAGTGTTGCGTTCTGCTGTGAACAAAGTGTGCGAAGGTTAGTTATCCTTTTTTTAATACGATTTTGTTTTTTTGGAGTCAGTAATTGCTGCATCATTTATTTTTCTGTGTGGCTTATTACTGATTTTTTCAGATTGTTCACCAAAACTGATAAACCCCTCTGACAATGGGGCTCCAAGTGTGAGGCCATCTACCAGCTCCCCCTTCCCTGGAGACACCCCTCCTGCTCCTCCAGGCTGCGTCCATCTGCATCATTGCCTGTTGTGCGGCTGGGCTTGCCCACCTCCCTCTGGCTCTCCCACGTCGGCGTTTCCTGACAGCGTCCGTGGTCAGGCCTCCAGGTCCGCGCTGGGTGGGCTCGGGAGTTGAGGTCAGGCCCGCCTTCCTCTCTGGAGGCTCCAGGGAGGCTCTGCTTCATGCTCTCTCAGCTGGCACAACGCAGCTTCCGCAGTTAGAAGGGCTGAAGTCTCGTTTTCCTGCTGGCTGTGAGCCGAGGCCACCCTCATCTTCTGGAGGCCATTGCATCTTCAGAGCCAGCCCAGGAGACCTCATGTGTCCAATCCCTGTTGCTTTGAATCTTGATTCCCAGAAATAGCCCCGTCCTTTGTAAGGGCTCATCTGACTAGGCCAGGCCCACCGAGGGTCACGTTTCTCAAGTTGCTGTGCCAGGTGATGTGACCTGACCAGAGTGAGACCCACCTGCTCGCAGACCCAGGGCTTGCAGGTGTGATGGCCAGGAGCGGGTCTGGGGACGGTCTTCAACTTGCATGTGCCTCCTGCAGAGTCCGGTGTCTTGCTCTCGCCTTGTTCCTTGGTCCTGAGGGCCAGACTCCCTCTAGCATCCCAGAGGAGGAGGAGGTCTGGAGGCCCCGCGTTCCAGCGTTCCATGGCTGGTGAGTGGGCACCAGCTGCGTGCGTGATGATGGCTTTGGCTCCGGTCTCCAGGGTGTCCAGGTGGCGGGTGGGAGCTCATCAGCTCTGACGCCCGTTATACTGTGTGCGGTTCTTTTCCTCTTCCCTGACTCTGTCTGGAATTTGTAGGGTCTCCTGATGCTCGTTAGAGTTCTGAAATGTGAAGGTTTGCTTTGTGTCGGGCGCTCTTCCCCCTGCACTGTACTTGGCACGTTGACTGCAGACTCATGTGCTGCCGTTGTGGAAGTTTTTCTGGGTTGTTCTGGGTCATTTCGTCCCCTTGCTTGCTTTTCTCTCTTTCTGGACCTCCTGTTGGCTGGACGTGGGACCTGCTTTCTGAGACATGTCCTTGGCTTTGTCTTCCAGCCGCCCTGTAGCCACTTTCATCTGGCTGTAATATTTTTAAGTTTCCCAATTAGATTCTTGTTCTCAGATTATCTTTTGTAGCGTCCTGTTGTGTCCCTGTTTCTCTGAGTGTCGTGCAACAGTGCTTTCTGCTTTTCAAGGTCTTCTCTTCCCTGTGTTGTCTCTTCCCTTCATGGTTTTTTGCTTTCCTGGCTTTTACCTCGGTCTCTGTCTTTCCCATCAGAGGCTCTCCTCCCATCCCTGGCGCTCCTTGGCTGGCCATCCCTGTCAGAGGCCCTGGCAGCCACCAGGCTGCTCTGTGTGCCTGGCAGCTGGTGCCTGCAGTGGGCTTCACGGTGGGGCAGGGGCCGAGCCACCGTGCCCTCCTGCCCTGGGACTGCGTCTCGTCATTGGGGTTAGGGTGGTGCCTTTCTCCCCTGGGCTCCCTGGCTTCCCCAGGTCACTCACAGCCTGGGTAGTCGCAGGCCGAGCAGGCTGGGGGAGGAGCCCCATCCTCGGCTCCTGGAGCTCACCCCACACCTGGTGCGCTGCCTTCGGGCTCCAGGACTAGCCTGGCCTTGCCTCTCCCCATGCCCTTGGCCTCCGCATTCGTAGCTCTGCCAACGCCACCAGCTGTTTGCTGACTGCGGAGCGTTTGGTGCCATCTCTCCTGATTTTATTTCTTTTATCACCTTTTGTTCTGGTGTGTTTCTCCTTTGCTCTTTTACTGTCAAGCCAGGGGTTCCAGAAGGAGCAAAAGGTAAGTGCGTGTTCCCAGCGAGCCAGGCGCCATGTGATGGTCGTTCTGTGGCCACGAGAGACAGAGTCTGTCTTATCCCATGTCCTGCGCTGCCGCACTCCAGGGCCGCCCGCCGGCCGTGTGTGTGGTGCTCTGTTCCTGAGGCCATGCACAGAACCCTCCAGAAGCCTCCTTGCTCGTCAAGGAGTGCACAGCTCTAGCTCCCAGGGAAACCGGTTCTCTCCCTGGTTAGAGCTGTGTATTTAGTGCACAGAACCTTGCCTTTTCTTGCTGTTATATTCACTTCTGACTTTCTTTTTTGTAATATTTAATTTTGGGGGGAAGGTGATTTGGTTTATTTACTTACTTTGATGGAGGTACTAGGGATAGAACCCAGGACCTCGTGCTGCTGAGCACACCCTCTACCACTGAGCGGTACCCTTCCCCAACTTCTGAATTTCTAATTACTTTTCTGTCTTAGAAAAAACAAGAGCAGAAAGCCCCGGATAGAGATGCTATATTTCGCGCCACTGCCAACCTGCCCTCCTACAACATGGACCGGGCTGTGGTCCAGACCAACATGCGAGATGTGAGTGCTCACGGGGGGTGCTGGGGGGCATGGGGGCTGCTGGCCACTGCGTGGGGCCACAGGAAGTTCTTGAATGCATTTGGGAAGCCGGGGGAAGCGGATACTACTTTGGAGCTTTTTTGTAAACCTAAAATTAATTCAAAATAAAAAGTTTAAAAAGATATCTAAGGGCAGGACTGAAAGGATAGATACTGTTGGAAAAATGTTAGTTTTGTCCTGAGTTTGGCAAAAATGTTTATATAGAAATCTGGACTCTTGGTTATTTTGGCTTGGAAAGTCCTCAGTTGAAAAATCAGCATGTTCCCAGCGCCCCCGTGGGAGGGTGCGGCCAGAGCCCGGCGCCTGTGCCGTGCAAGAGTTGGGGTGGCCGCCCCGACGTGTTGGTGTTTAGTCTGAGGGCTCAACCACAAGCCACTTCATTCCCGAACACACCTCTCCAGGGTCTCTTCCAGAGAGTTCTGTGTGGACCAGGGCATGGGGGTCCTGGCACACCCGTGTGTGTGTCTGCCCCACGTGGTGTCTCTTGCATTTTGGCTGAGGCTCGTTGGGGTGAGGGGGTTTCTGGTGACACAGACCTCCTAGTTGAGAAGTTGAATTGGCTGCAGGTCATTCTTCCAACCAGTTGAAAGTGAGAGACCCATGTCTGTGGGTCCTGTAGGATCCCCGTTCTCTTCAGTGAGGCCACAGAGGGCTCTCAGCTCACCTAGCCCCCAGCGGGCCAGATGCCTTCCTCAGGGGCTAAAGGGCCGAGTGACACCACCAGATGTTTGGTTCTCGTGTTGCCGGCCTGGCTGTGCCAACGAGAGCCTCTCTCCTTCTTGGCCCTGAGATGCCTTGTTTCTCCTCCGGTCTCCCCCTCTTCTCCTCAGGTATCTTGATGTGCTTTGACTCACAGGTGTGGGGTTCAAGGACAGGGAGTGTCAGTTCAGGTCCCAGTGGATTAGTGGGCATGGAGACGCGAGCTGCTCTTTCCTTCTCACTGCAGTTCCAGACAGAGCTCCGGAAGATCCTGGTGTCTCTCATCGAGGTGGCTCAGAAGCTGCTGGCACTGAACCCGGACGCGGTTGAGTTATTTAAGAAGGCCAACGGTAGGAGCAAGCCCTGGGTAGATGTGAGGTCCTGCGCCTGGACTCAGCCCTTCCCCATGGGCACTTGCCATGGCCCCCAGCCTGGAAACGGGAGAGTCGGTGGGTGGGGCTGGGTCAGCCGTCCACACTGTCCTGGGTTTACATGAGTGGGAGCTGATGGTCACTGCTCAGACTGTTTGGGGTTTAAGAGAACTGCCATGGATGCCTGGTGCTCAGACGAGGCCCCGGCCCTCCTGGGGGTGAGGAAGCACCGGGCACAGCCCGAGGCCTGACAGCTGCGTCTCCTGCCTGCAGCCATGCTGGACGAGGACGAGGACGAGCGCGTGGACGAGGTGGCTCTGCGGCAGCTCACGGAGATGGGCTTTCCCGAGAGCAGAGCTGCCAAGGCCCTGCGGCTGAACCAGTACGTCCGGGCCACCTCCCTCCCCGGGCGCGACGGGGCTCGGTCTCTTGGGATCACCCATGGGTGACACCTTCCATCCCAGAGGCTCTGATTGAATTGTTTCTAGTATGTGTGAGTTTTAAAACAGGACCTGCAGTGCATGTCCTGGGAGTAACCTGCTTGTGCATCTCCAAGTGTTTTAAGACATTGAACGTGATGATCGTTCTGTGAGTTCTTACTGGGAACTCAGGTCAAAGCCGGTTGATAGCAGGGACGTGGACAACCCCAAGAATACAGGCAGTGGTGTCCTCAGTCATCACCTGTGGTTTCTTGTGTTTATGTTCAGATCTGAAATAAACGTGTAACCAAAGGATGGTCAGCAGGCTGTGTTCTTTTGTCTTTGGACCCAGACTCTTGTTTGGCTCCCCTTGCTTTGCGGGTGGGTTTCTGCGTTTGGCCAGGGCCTGGGGCAGTTTAGGGCGGGGCTGGGGCTTCCAACGTGCTGCATCAGAGTCTTGTTATCAGGGTCAGCAGCTCGGAGAGGCTTTTCTCGGGGAGACAGAAGGCCTGGCTTCCTGGCTCAGGGTGCTGCAGAGTCTCCCTTCCCTTTCAGCATGTCGGTGCCTCAGGCCATGGAGTGGTTAATCGAGCACGCAGAAGACCCCACCATTGACACACCTCTTCCAGGCCCAGCCGAACAGGGAGAAGCGGGTGCTGAGGCCTCAGCTGCTGCTGGGACTAGCGCGGAGGATGAGGAAGCCAGAGACGAGCTGACAGAAATCTTTAAGAAGATCCGGAGGAAAAGGGAGTTTCGCCCTGACGCTCGGGTATGTGTTGACGGACCTGGATCCAGCAGGTGGCGTGACTGTCCATCCCTTGCGGCCACGCTGTGCACAGGAACGGGAGCCCGGCCGCCCGGCCGCCCGGCCCTGTGCTGAGTGAGGCTGGGGGAGGCTTTGCAGACGGGCCTGGGGCCACTTGGGTTCCTGGGTTCGGTTTTAAGTTCTCCTCACTTGCCTCCAGGCGGCTTTATTTCCCTCTGAACCACTAGTTGACACATCTGACATCCGAAAAAGTCATCTTGTCTGAGTTACAAGTGTCCGCGAGCTGTGGGGTCGGGCAGAGTCTGCCCCGAGACCAGAGGGTCAGGCACCGAGTGGGTCACCCTGTGAGCCGGGGAGGCTGGCCAGGCTGCTGGCCCTCTGGTAACCACGGCGTCTGTGGGATTCAGGGAGCTGAGGCCCGGCCGCCTCTGGCTGTGCTTGGCGAGTGGACAGCCGTGTGCAGTTTCATGGCCCCTTGTCACTGTGGGCTTGCTTCTGATGCCTTGGCATCTCTGTATTCTTTTTCACCGTTCTGTACTTTTTTAGGGTTTTAATTTGATTTCACCTTCTTGGATATTTTGCATATTTTGAGCATGTTCTGATTTCTTTCAAATCATAGGTCTGCCGACTCCAGGGGTCAGGGCTCTGAGTCTTTGTATCCTGATTCCACTTGTAGCTCAGTTTTCTTGGTGTGATGCTACCTCGTGGGCCCACCTGTGGGCCGTGTTTCTGTGGAAATCTCCCGTGGCCGGGCCATGGGATGCCCACCGTGGGTGGTTTAGAGCCTGCTTTTGCGGGTTGAGCAGGACCTCCGGCCAGGGGTGGGTTTTCATGTTAATCACTCAGGCAGGGCTCCTGGGCTGTGTGCAGAGTACAACCCACTCTCTGGGGTGGAGTCTTCCCCTGCCCCTCTCCTTGGGGATGCAGACCCCGTTCAGGGTCCTGGTTTTAAGCTGTAACTCTGCATCTCACATGGGCCCAAGGTCAATGTCCTACATGTGACGTTGGCCCCCAGCCCCACCCTGGTAAGACCTGTGCCCTTCCCGGGGCACACCCTCTGTGACACTGGTGTGTTCCTTTGTTTCTGTTACTTTGAGATTTTCCTTTTGTGAGTTCGGCCATGCCTTCAAAGTATGTGTTGTGTTTTAGTCCAGAGTTTCTAGGACCAGAAGGAAGGGTGTCTCACTGTCTCGGTCTCTTGGGAGCCAAGCCAGGGTCTGGAGCTGGACCCCTGTTAGGAAAGGCAGCTGCTCTCTGGGTGGGTCCTTTGTGCTCTGCTGCCAGGCCCCAGGCTTTCCCCTGTAGGGGTCCACCATGGTCCCCATCAGGCCTGCTGCCAGGTAGTTCATGGTCTTGGTTGCCGTCTCAAAGACCTTCCCCGCCTGGTGCCCTTCCTAACGGTGTTAACGTGCGCGTTTACCCCAGGGTACAGCTCTGCTGCCGCTCCTTCCCCTCAACGTCACTGTGTGGTGGGGACGCTCTATGGGCGACTTCTCCTGCAGCAGGCGTCGTAAAAGGGCTCGAGGGGCCAGGAGACAGGAGGGTGGTCCGATAAGGATCGAGACATTAGTGTTGATCCTGGGAAGGCCGGATTGGAGAGCAGGTCTTGGCCTTGAGACTCCGCTGTGGACGGGACGTGGGCATGCAGCGTGCAGAGCCTGCGGTGCAGGGCCCCCCAGCGCCGCCACCGGGAGGCCCTTCCTGGAAGTCGGGGGGGGGCAGGGCGGGGGCTCTGGTATCACCACCCCCGGAAGTCCTGGGACATCATTTCCTGGGCCGAGACAGAAATGAGGAGAGAGGATGCGTTTCTTTTTAAGTTAATGAAAAAGACCCTCCTCTCCTTGGAGTTAGGAGTACGTTTCTGGTGATTTATATGACGTTGATATCAAATACTGCTACATGGTGGGGCCTTCTCCCAGCGTTCGCCCGGGGGCCCCAGAGCTGAAAGCGGCCCAGGAAAGCAGACAAGATAGAGTGCAGGCAGAAAACGCTGGGTTCTGAACACACTGCACAGTCGGGTTCCACTTAAGCATCTCTCCTGATGAGCACCCCCGGCTGCTGCTGCTTCTGTCGGGTCTCTTGGAAACAGTCCAGACTGACCACAGAGTGAGAACTCACGTCCGCAGAAGGGGTGTGCCTGGGAAATCAGGGTGCCAGGCTGTACGCGTCCACGCACGCTGACTCCAAGGGGCGGGCAGCCTGAGGCCAGCCAGCTCCAGGCAGAAAGTCGGGAGGCGACATCAGGGTCACAGGAGCGCTGTTTAACCTTCAGAGAATTAAGAGCACCCCTTGAAACTTTGGGAATGAAAGCTTTACTTTTTTGTGCAGAGTTGACCTTTTCAGAGACTATATGGTAAAAGTCAAGAGTAAAGTGAAGGATATATCGTCTTAAGGTTTTTGTCCTGAAAATGTGCACCTCCCCAAAACACTGAACACAGGGTCACCAGTCCCTCCAGAGACTGCCATACGTTTATACTTGTAGCTTAAATTTTGTTAAATACGTTTAGAATTAATTTTAGTTTCATTTTTTAAAAGATAAAATATGAGGGAAATCACTCCTTTTTTCAAAAATTACTGTGATTTTTTTGTCTCCACTTAAATGGGACTTGCTCATGTGACTTTTCCGTAACACAGTCCTTCAGGGTGACAAGACCCTCTGGAATGAGCGGTGCATGGTTGTGGAGACAGTTCCCCCCAGACGGTCGATGGGCGAACCTGGAAGGACCTTGAGTCAGTCTGGCCACTTCTGTGGTGGGGCCGGGGGCGTGCCCTCCACCCCCCGGCTCCCCACCCCCGGCTCCGTCCCGAGGTTGTTCAGAAAACCAACAAATGTTTTTGTAAAGCTATAGCGAAACAGAGTCTGGAGCAGGAAACCCCATGGCATGAGTTAAAACACCCTCTGCTCAGATGCCGTTCGTGGGGCAGGGCTGCGGCCGGGGCCGGGGGGAGTGCAGCACTGAAGCGCCCGCGGGCCCTCCTCTCGTCTCCCCTAGGCCGTCATCTCCCTGATGGAAATGGGATTCGACGAACAGGAGGTGATGGACGCCCTGAGAGTGAACAACAACCAGCAGAACGCGGCCGTGAGTATGGGCTCCCGCGCGCTGCCCGGGTCCGTGTGCTCAGTCACCTCCCAGCGCGGTCGAGTCGGGCACTCTGCTTCTGGAGGGGAACAGCGGGGTCGGTGGGCCCAAGGCTGAGAGAACCTGGGCTTGGCCCCTGTTTGGTGGTGAGTGTGTAACGTGTTCCCTGGCTCCGTTACATTGACTCTGAGCTCGATTCCCGCCCAGTGGACGCGCGGCTGCTGGTGCAGAGCTGCCGGCCGGGGCTGGGGGCTGACGGCAGCGTCCATCTGGGGGTGATGAGTCCTTCTGTGGCCGCGGGAGCCAGAGCCAGTGTGTCTGTGCTTACACGTCAACTTCTGGGCTCACTGATGAACTCCCAGAGGACCTTGGTCGCGCCCAGGGGTCCAGCACACAGCAGAGCTCAGGTGTTGGGTGCGTTTCTTAATTCTTCTGGCACTCGGATGGGTCATGCGGGGGCCCTGTTCAGTGACTGGAGAAGCTGCAGCCGTTATGCTGAGTGCGGCACCAGGATCTGCTAAGGAAACTAGGTGGTGTTTCTCTCCCTCTGCTGGCCTGTCTGGACGTGTGTGGTACCTGAGGCTGGGCCAGGCTCGTCTCAATGTCAAGGTCCCTCACGGTCAGAGCAGCTCTGGGAGCTGGCCAGGAGTCCCCGCTGCCGTGCCTGGAGCTGACGGGGGCCAGAAGCATTAACGGCTGTCGCTCTTGTGTTCGCAGTGCGAGTGGCTGCTGGGAGACCGAAAGCCCTCTCCCGAGGAGCTGGACAAGGGCATCGACCCCGAGAGCCCTCTCTTCCAGGCCATCCTGGATAACCCAGTTGTGCAGCTGGGCCTGACCAACCCGAAAACGTTACTAGGTGTGTGCCTTCTCTGTGCTTGCTCAGGGGTGGGCCCACCCATGGCACAGATGTCACAGGGCGATGCTGCAGTTGCCACGCCCAGTGTCTCCCTGCGAGTGCGGCAGGGTCCCATGCGGCTCCAGCCTGGGTCACTTTGAGGCCCGAAAATCAGGTACTCCTCGTGATGTGACAGCTTCCTGTTCAGTGACTCCACTCAAGCTTTGCAAATCCAGTTAAAGTGGATCATCCAGTCTAGGGGGAGTGAAGACAGTGCCCAGCAGGTCAGGGCCATGCGGGAGGACCTGTTGGTTGACTGTAGCTCTCACTGTTTGCAAAGGATTCTTTGGCACTTGGTTGGACTGTGAAATATAATATAGGTACAAGAGTGTATGTAATTATTGTAACTTTAAAGAGTAATGACAAAATATATAACCGCGTACCACCATTCAGCTTAAAAAGGTAGGCTTTTAGAAAACCTGGCGCAGCCCAGGCCCCCTCGAGCCCCCGGGCACCCCTCCCCTGCTGCAGTGACCTTGCGAGCCTTTGTCCTTCCTGGGTTCCTCGGCAGTGTCGCCGTGTGTCTGTCCTCGCACGGCTGTGGCTCAGGTGCTGCCTCTGTGTTCTAGGCAGGCTCCTTCTGTGACTGACTTCTGCCTTCTTTTCTTAAGTGCCGGGAAGGACTTCACCGAACATGGTACCACAGCTGACTTCTCTGTTCTGCTGCCCGGTGGCACATCATGGTTTACTTGCCTGTGGTTCTGCTCTGCATGCCGGTGCCGCCCGGCGTGCGGGAGGGTCTCTCCGGGCCACGTGCTTCGGGCCGGGCTTGCGGGGGCCCCGCATGTGTGTGCGGAGCCCGTTTTCCAGCCAGGGCGTCCCCGTCTGCGGCAGGTCAATGGCTGTCGCCGGCCCCCAGGAGCAGCGTCCCAGGCAGGCACCGGTGCTTCCGCTCTTGGCCATTTCCCTGCCTTCTAGGGCTGAGCCCCTTTCCCTGCAGGACTGCGTCGTCGTTCGTCAGCTTCTGCCTGTGTGCCGAGCGCTGATCTGCGTCAGATGTTTATATTGTGGGTGCCGTTTATCAGTTTCTGGTTTCTTTATCACTTTGATGAACAGACGTCTGAATTTTGAATGTATCTGTTTCATTTGTGATGCGAATCTTAAAGAAGGCCCTCTGATCCCAAGGTCAGGAGGACATTCACCTTTATCTGTTTCTAGTGGTTTTTAAGTTTTGCTTTTCTTACTTAAGTCCCTACCTACTGGAAGTGTGTGGTGTGAAGTAGGGATGTTTTCTCTCTGCACCCAAATGCTGTGCTTTGATGATGTGTCTTACGTGAGCTTATTTCATCGTTTGTGCCAGGCACTCAGCTGTCCCTTCCACACCGAAGGTGTCTCCTCGCCCTCCTGCCCCTCAGACCTCGGGAGGGTAGCCTTTTCTGACGCGTTTCCTTCAGCTCTTGGCCGTTGAGTTTGTGGCTTGCTGTAGGCTTTTTTTTTTTTAATTTTTGAAGATATAATTGGTCAGATTAAGGCAATTCCCCTTTTCCTCCAGTTTAGAGGCTACAGGTATTTATTCACGGAAGGGTGGTCAGTTTTACTGAATGCTTTTCCCTACCTATTGATACTACGTGGTTTTACATCTGCTGGTCTTGGACATTTCTCACATTTCTGAAACAAGCCACGCGGAGTGAGTGCACTCGGTCTGCAGGCTCTAAGTTGGTGATCTGGACAGCACCACAGAACTCGCACTGGCCTAGGGTCCTGCCTCCTCGGGCTCAAAGTCCCAGGCCTCCTGCGGTTGCCAGGTCCCCACCTGGAGAGAATGGCCTCCCTGTGTGCAGTCGCCGGGCTGCAGGCGCCTCTGCACCTGCTCACTTCTCTCGAGAAATTTCTGATCAGGTTTTTAATGAACTGCATCTTTTTAGATGAAGTAATGTGTTCATTATAGAAAATTTGGAAGACGCAGAAAAGCACGAAGAAGTCGAAGTCACCCCGTCCCCCGTTGTTGGTTTTCCTTCTGTGGTTCCCTGGGGTCTGGAGCGGGTGCAGCCGCACTGCTGTGCAGTTTTCACACTGCCTTTCTCATCACGTCTTGGTGCGTTTACGCTTTTCAGCAGTAGCTTTTAGTGGGTACAGGTATTTCATTCTATAGCTATGTCACAAATTATTTAACAAATGCTGTTCCCCTATTATTGGCCATTTAAATTGTCTTTCATTTTGTTGCTTTTGAACCTACTGCTTCAAGAAACCCTTTGTGGACGGGCTTCTTGGGTGCAGCTATTTCCTGAGGATACGTAGCTGGAAGTCAAATGACAAGTCAAAGAATAAGAGCATTTTAAGCTCTTGGCCATATCTTGGCAGCCGACAGGGCCTCCATCTGGGTGAGGTGCTCCCCCCCCCACCGCTTGGACAGAGACCCTCGGCCTTGGCTGTGCCCCTCCATGACCACCTGCATGGAGCACGGTCTGGCCAGTCACGTCCTTTCACGGGTTGTCTGTGCACATCTCTGGTCTTTCAGCCGCTGTGTTCATGCTCGAGCTTGTTGACAGCTTCTTATACATTAAGAACATCCCTTGTCATGTGCTGCACTTTTAATTCTTTTATTTATTTGTTTGTTTGTTTGTTTATTTATTTAATGGAGGGACTGGGGGTTGAGGGACTGGGACTGCTAGGCATGCACTCTGTCACTGAGCTGTACCCTTCCCCCCTTTTAATTCTTAATGCACAAGTTAAGATGCGCAGAGAAAGCCCTTCCTCAGATAAATCTTCATCTGTGTGGTTTTTCATGTTTATCACTTTTTTCATCTCTTTGTGCAGTTTTCTCCTGGGATTTTGGGTAACAGAGCAGCCTGTCCCCACCTCACTAAATCTGCTTCCTGTTTCCTTCTCCCAGACGCCAAGTCATCTTTCTGGGTTCCTTTCTGGTACTTTTAACTGGTTTTCAGACGATTTTGATCAGGAGGACCTGGTGATTGTTTTGAGGTCTGGGAGGGTCCTCAGGTCTTAAACACTGAGCCCTTGGGCTAAGGGCCCCCGTGGCTCCTTGAATAAATGCTTTCCATGAAGCCTGTAAACTTGGGGCCACTCTCGCTGTCGTGGTTTGCCTGCCGTTGGCTGCCTGACGGTCTGGTGTAAAGCCGTCCTGCCCAGACATGAGCTCAGCCACCCGACCTGCATCACTGTGCTGTCCACCGAAGTAGCCAGTGTGTGTCTTGGGTCAGAAGGCACCTCTGTTTGGGGGAGAAATTTTGTAAAACTGTTTAGAAATTCAGTTTTCACTTTAGGGAACTGCTCAATTAATTTTAATGTGTTAGTTTTTTTAAAGTCATTTCCTTAAGGTTAGACATTTTGGTTTTTCCAATTAGGTATTGTTAAATTTGCAACGATATCTTTATGTGAGCCTTTTCTGCATCTGATCGTTTGGTCAGGGTGGGATTGGCAGTGGAATTACTGAGTCACAGGCTGTCACTATTTTAAGGTTCCTGGTGCCGCTGCCACATTGCTCTCCAGACTCTCTGTGCCAGTGAATACACAGGCACATCCCCCACCTGCCAGAATGGAGGACGCTGGCTTCTGTTCTCAGCCAGTTCAATAAGCAGATGAGACCTTGCCGGGGGTGGATGTTTAGGAGGGGTCTCCGCGTGGGCCCGGGCTGTTGGAGGCGTGCTTTCTCACTGAGCAGCTGCTGGCGCGGGAAGTCTGCCTTGGCTCGTCTGCATGTGGAGGGGCGTCCCTCAGCGGCTCTGCTGTCTCCCCACAGCGTTTGAAGACATGCTGGAGAACCCACTCAACAGCACCCAGTGGATGAATGACCCGGAGACTGGGCCGGTCATGCTGCAGATCTCGCGCATCTTCCAGACCCTGAACCGCACGTAGGCCGTTCTGCCCCGCTGCCGCTCCCGCAGCCTGCCTGGGGGTGGGCCAGGGTCCACCAGGCCCTCTTCTTCCTTCCAGCCAAGCTGCGGGAGGAGCGGGCGGACCCCAAGTCTGTGGGGCTGAGGAGGGCCAGGCCAGAGGGGACCCCCCCCCCAGGTTGTCAGGTGCCGGTTCTCATGCTTTGATCTTCCTGCTGAAACCCCTGGTGGCCGCGTGCTCGGCCCGGCTCCAGCCTCCGACAGTGTTTACAGACGCGCGGTCGTCACACCCGCCAGGGGTCACCTCCCTCCAAGTGTCCTTTCGGGCTCTTGAAAGGCTACTTGAATTGACCCATAGGCGCTGCTTGTAGAGTCCGCTTGTTACGAAAGAAGGCATGTTTCCATCCAAACTGTTAATGTCAAAGGCACTAACTTAAGTAGAAGATACACAGATGACTTTTCTTTAATAAACTCCCCTTTTCCAATTTTCTGTCTTGGTCTTATTTCAGCACCAAAGAGGGAGTCGTGGGCATCCTGCTGAGTGAGTGTGTTCTCGAGAAAGGGCACTCTCACCACTTCACCTGGGCAGTTGGTGCTGTCTCATCTGCATTTTCTCAGCAAAATCTCATGTTTTAACTGGAGTTGAGGGTCTGTGCGGGCACTGGAGCTGGCGTGCACCCTCGCGGCTCCGCGGGCAGAAGCTGGGCACCAGCAGGGACTCCCCTGCCCGCCTCCAGCCACCTTTTTTTAAAACGTTATCTGTTGTCTTTATTTTTATTAATTTTTTGGTTTCTTGTGTGTGTGTATGTGTGTGTTTTGGTGGGAGGAGAGTAATTAGGTTTATTTATCTACTTGTTTTAATGGAGGTACTGGGGATTGAACCCAGGACCTCATGCGTGCTAAGTGCGTGCTCTACCACTGAGCTATACCCACCCACCCCACTGTTGTCTGTGTTTTTAAATGAGAAAATGGGTTCCTTGTTTTTTCACTCTGCTCATTATATATTGCTTAAAGCAGTTAATTGTCTTCTGCAGCAGCTCCACCGCCCGAGCCCGCACCTGGTCTGTCGGCTGTTGGCCTCAGCCGAGCCAGTGCCCGGCGGGCCGCCCGCCACGGGGAAGCCCCCACCGGCTCGGAGCCCTAGGTTTTTTCATTGTTCTTTAGATTCAGATTGAAAACTTCTGGACAGAAATGTTAAAAATCATTTTTCAAGGTGGTGGACCTCTCGCTGAGACAGTGACATGCGTTCCTGGGCCGTGGGTGTGAAGCCTCAGCGACCGGCTCTGCGTCTTACTGTTATTTGATCCCGTGTTTGTGGGTAAGACACCCAGCAGAGGTGCTTCTTGGACTTGTGTCTTGTTTTTCTTCTTCGTGGTGCTGCCAGGTGATGCCGCCCGCCCCCCCATTAAACTTGAGCACAGCCCCAGGATGAGGCCTGAGGGGCTTTGCGGTTTTCAAACCCTAGACAAGCCAAGTCCCTGACTTGAGACGGACCGGCCGCGCCTCCAGGGGCCGCTCTGGGTGGGGGGTGGGCCAGCGCGGACACAGTGTGGGTGTGGGTGGTCCTTGGACTCACCAAGGGCACCTTCCTTCCTGGCAGACGTTTAAGGAGATCCCTCAGTAAGAAAAGATCAGTGCACAAGTCAGCCCACTTCTCAGATGCCTGTGCGCTGCCAGCACGGCCCGGCCATTCACTTAGGTTGGAGAAATCCCTTACCTTTGAGACCTCCTGACGGCCAGCCCTCCATCAGACACGATTCCCATGTTGCCTGCTCCAGGTTGGAGGGAGGGGGCCGTGGCAGCTGGGTGTTGGGTGCCGTTTCCCGGTGGCTGGCGGCCCCACCTGCGCTCTCGCTCCTGCGTGGCTTCCTTCCCCCGTCTGGGGCCCTGGGCGGCTGCACCCCGTGCAGTCAGTCACCTGCCGCAGAGCCGGTGTCGTGGCCCGCTGCTCCCACCTGCGGGGGACGTCCGTGGTGTGCTCTGCTGGTGCGCGTGTGTGCTTCGTGTGGTTTTCCGCACACACGGGGCTGGCCCAGCAGAGTGGCTGTGCGGTGTGAGGCCCTTCACTGTGGTTCCCGGAGGACGTGGGTCTCAGGGGGCACCTGGCGGCGTTGGAAGGAAGGCTGAGGGGAGGCCTTGGCAGCTGGGCCCCGCAGTACAGGGCGCTGGGTGTTGGAGGTTTCCGTCCTGGGTAGGAGGTGGGGTACCATTTATGCCGCGGGCCTGCCCACGGGCGGCCACGCTGCTGGTGCTGCCGTGGGTCCACCTGCCTCCAGGCTATGCCAGGGTGGGCGCGGGGTCTGGGCGGGGCCAGGGCTTCTCAGCCCTGTGGACTCCCACCCGCTCTGTGACAGATCTGCAGTGCCTCTCTTACTGTCTGCAATGAAATTCCCAGAAAATATAACCTAATTACATGCCTAGTTTAAAAAGTCAATTCAATGCCGTCACAGGAACGTGAGACTAAAGGTTGCAGGTTTCATAAAATGTACGTCTGAGTCAAGATTCTCAGGCATAACTGCACAAGTGTCGTAGAAGGAGAAGGGAAGTTGTCTGTTCCTCGCAGAGTTGGGTCCCTCGCCCTTGGCAGTTACCACGTTCAGACAGACAGGCCTGGGCTTCTGGCGCAGATACTGGGGAGCACTGCCACTGGAGCCCCGACTCAGAAGGGACGTCTGTTCTTGACGAAGTTACAAGTACTGCCAAGTGCTTTTCTCCCTGGTTCACAAGGTAGGGGCATTCCTGGAAAATTCCTAGAATGAAGAGTGTGTGTAAGAGATGGAGAAATTGTTCACGTGCTGAGGAGTGGGGAAGTCATTCTGGACTGTACGTGGTTTGGCTTGAACTTCATGCTAACTAGAACAGACTGTCCCCTGGCCTGCCAAACAGGCATCACACATCTGCTTTAACCTTTAAGAAAAGGATGGAGCCGGTGGCCACTGTGCACGTGGTTTCAGATGATTCCTGCATCACTGAGAACTTGAATTTTCTGAACTGTATCAGACTCGAGGATACCACCAGCCGTTCTCAAAACAGTATCTGTCAGCATCTGCCACCTGCAACCTTATGGTCTCGAGGTCTCTCCTTGTAACTGCATTTGGACCCCAACCAGTTCTTGCTTAACAAGCACCTTTACTTTTTCCAACTCCGATCCTAAATCCTGAATCTGTCTCCCAGCCTATGGTCTTCTGTTTGGCTCGAGTAAAGCTCTTTTCTATCCTGTTACGGACAGTTGACTGGTTATTTCCGTCCACACAAATAGTACTGAGCTTGAAGCAGCCAGTTTCTAGGCACAGGTAGTGCTGTTTAGGGCCTCAGCCACATGCTGCCCGGCAGCCCGAGGAAGCCACGTGGGACAAGGAAGCTCCTTCAGTGAGTGGACACGCCACTGCTAAGGGTTTGGGACACCCAAGGTCAGGGCCAGGCAAGCAGAGGAGCCAGCGTTAGAAGAAACAGGAATGGACGAGGGTAGGGGGTTTACCTTCAACGTCCTGCACACAGTGTGCTTCCCTGGGGTCCCTTCCATTCGTCCCCACACTGCTCAGGCTTGCCAGGAGGAGGCAGCTGTGTGACTGCTCCTTGGGGCCCATCGGACGCTCTACTCTTCCAGGTCATGAAGGTTGATGGTTATTAACGAATGTGCCCCAGAAGATTCCTCAGAGTGCCATGCTTATGGCCACGTGGTCAGCGTGGAGACCCACCAAAGCAGTGGTGTGAGGAGTGCAGAGAAGACCAGGCCGGTGGAGAGGCCCCAAGACCTGGGCGGTCATCCTGCAGAGCACCACCCTGTGCAGGGCCCCACCCGGCCTGAGGCCACGCTGCTGCTCCCAGACTCGGGTGCTGGGCAACGGCCCTGCCCACCCCCGCCCCCTCCGCCCTTAGGCTCTGGGCTGGGAGAGGACTTTCTCTTTGGAGGTTGAAGTCAGGGAACTGACCGGGGTCTGGACAGACGAGCCCTTGGAGAACTTTCTTGCAGGGGCAGTTTCCCGTGCCTCAGAGCCCTGCGGGCCGGGCCGTGGGCTTTCCAGGCCCCGGCTGGTGCCCGTGAGGCCTTCTCGCTGTGATGTCAGTGCCCCAGCCTGATGGGTGACCGAGCAGACGTCCACCCCGATTTTGTGATGTGGGAAGTTCTGTGTGCTTGCCCTTTCCTCCCTGGAGATAGTGGGTTTGCGTGTCTGGCCCCGAGGGCCTGTTCTGGCCGCGCCCCCGCTGGGCCATGCCCGGCCGGGTGTCCTCTTCCCCAGGCCTGTCCTCCTAAGGTAGGTCCGGGTTTTCACCTGCATGGCTTTGCCTTGGCTGTAGAGTCAGTCGAGGAAGGAGCTGCCGCGGGGAGTGAACGTCCTCCCATTGAAGCTCGCAGTTGCTGGTGGTGGCACGTACGTGAAATTTAGGGGGGCAGCTCTGCTTTGTCATGGGCTGATCGGTGCGGCGAGTGTGACCTCTGCCCCTGCACCCACCGCTGCAGCAGGACTCCCAGGGCAGGAGAGGCCAGGCTCACTCTCAGCAGGTGGGTGGGGGTGTCCACCAGGGTGGACCTCTGCTGGATCCCCATTCTAGGATCAGCTGGCCTGGTGGCACTCCGGAAACACTTGATGAGACAGGCTGGCTGGGCAGCATGTAGGGACTCCCCTGGACAGGGCACGGAGAGTCTCGTGTCTGCCGGCACGTCGCTGGATTACGGTCTGGAAGCTGGGCTGCTGCGTTGTGCGAGGTGCTCATTCTCCACTCCACACCCCACAATCCCCAGCAGGCTGTGCATTCTGACGTGAGTGTATGTCAGTGTACCAGCCAGGGTCTCGGCCCAGGGGAGGATGCAGAGCTCCCCGGGCCCAGCATCAGGCCAGTGGCAGGGGTCTGGGAGGTTGCTAGTTTGGAAGGAAACTGCATTGCAAACAGGACCCCGAGGTGACCCTGAGCAGTCCTAACTCTTCAGAGGGTGCCTCCCAGGGTGTGGAGTGCCCAGGGCGCCTTACCCACCCCAGGCTGTCCCGGGATTAGAGGCTGGGTTGGGTGTGGCAACTGCAAACTGGCTTTCTGTGTCAGCGCCCGGGGAGGTGGGCAAGGGAGCTGGATGGCGCTAGTGCTGGTGCTCAGCACACCCACCCACAGCTCTCCCTGGGGGCAGGGGGCCCCTCCGAGGCTCTGAGAAGTGGAATCCAGCATCTTCCTGCTTCACCCAAGGACGGGGTGGCACAGCCCAGGCCAGGTCCTCTGACTGTGAGCAGGCAAGCAGGTGTGCCCCAGTTTGAACCACATGCTCCTGGGCCGCAGGCCAGGGCTGGCCTGGCTGTGCGCTGGGATGCATACAGCTCCACCAGCTGGGTGACATGTGGCGTCACCTCCATGGCCTCTGCTTCCTCACCCTCAAGAAGAGACAGGATAATCACAGAAGAGAGACTACTGCGTCATGTTTTGGCGAGTCCAGCCCTGGCCGGTCTCAGAATCAAGAGGAACAAGCAGCTGGGGTGGAGGAGCTGCTGTCAGGCCCGCCCGCTCCTGGCTGCTGCACCCCGACCCAGGCACCTCCTTCCCGACAACATTTAACAAAACCAATGCTAGGTTCTCCGGCCTGTCCTGTCCAGAACGTGGCTCCCTTTTACCAGAAAGTTCTTTCTCCCCAGTCTGGCTGAAGTGAGCTCCAAAGGGGACTTGCCCAGACCATATGCACACTTGCGTGTGTGTGTTGGGGTGCCCAGGGGGAGCCTCAGGACTAAGTGCCAGGTGCGTTCCCAGACTCTGGGCTCCCCCATGAGTCCCCCAAGACAAAGGCCTCTGAGCAGGGCTGGCAGCTCTGGACCCCAGGTCGGGGTGGTGCCGACCCTGCTGAGGTCAGATGCGGGAGGGGTGGCCCTGAGCTGGGGATTTGGTGCCACTGGGAAGACAGGGGCTGAGGCTGGGCAGGCCATGTGGGCAGAACCCCTGGACCCCAGACAGGCAAGGACAGAGCATCTTCCTCCACTTGGCTTCCTTTCAAAGAAGAACCCTGGGGGGGTCTGTTTCAGGGTCTCAGAAGCCCCATGAGGCACTTTGGGGTCGGTCCCACTCCCTGGGCTGCCACGGGGATGCTGGAGCCAGGAACGGCGGGATGGACTCGGGAAGCAGTGGGCATCCCGGCCAGCTCTGTCCCCTCGTTCTGAGGCCTGGAGTGAGCCCCTCCTCCCTGCATCATGAGAGTAGGGGATACCACGTGGCCCCGACGGTTTCTCCAGATCCTGGAAATCCCATGGCCGTCAATTGTGGGTCGGCCCGAGAGGGGTCAGCGAGGTGACTACCAGCCCCCCAGGCCTGTCAGAGGGCCTGCCCTCTCGCCAAGACTCACTCCTCTTGCCCTGAGGGCCTCGCAGGGCTCCACTCCCCACGGAGGCCATGCGGGGGCCATGCAGGGGCCATGCTGGGCGCTTGGGGTGCTAGCCAGAATCCCCCACTGCACGTGTGTGGTTCTAGTCCCAGGGCGCACCCGTCACTCCCAAGGCCCAGGCTCTGGAATGGGGACCACCTGTCCTGACGCAGTCGGCCAGAGTGCTGAGGAGCCGAAGCTGTTGCCTGGTCACTGGCCCCGGCAGCTACTCCGGAACCTCAGGCCTGGCCTAGAGGCTGGTCTGCCACCTGCTGCCCTGGGAGGGTGCAGGGGACCTGGAGATGCTCACTCTGCTGTCTGTGCCCGGGGGCGGAGCCTGGGCTGCACTGGCTTCCCTCGCATCCTGGCCCACCTGGACCACCGAGGCCGCCCCGGAGAGGACCTGCGGAACTTGGTTCCTGAGAGCCTCTCTTTGGGAAAAGAATGAGCTGCTCTCCTTCCCGCCCCCAAACTCTGAACCTTCCGCACTCATCCGGCGACGCCCACACCCTGCATTGTGACCCTGGCTTGATCTCACTTGCTGATTGACGGCTCTGGTACTGAGGCTGCTCGTGTTGGTCCAAGGCTGGAAATAGTGGCTTTCAGAGAAGGCTGAGGCCCTTTATTGTCCCTGGGGCTCCCCACCAGAGGGGCTGACTCTGCAGGCCCCCACAGGGGTGACCCTCGGGACAACAGGGCATTCTGGTCACTCCCTGCCCGGGCTGGCCACGCCTCGCCGCAGAGCCACCCTCCCACGCCCTTGCCTGTCCTGGGTATTAGCTCAGAGGCAGGGGGAGCAGACCCGGGGTGGGGGTGGGGCTGCGACCCTGTTTATAGCCCAGGGAGGGGCAGTGGCCCGCCGGGCCAGCAGGTCTGGGCAGGGCCACAGGGCTCCAGGGCAGGTGCAGTGGGATGTGGGGCCTGGGCAGGGTGGAGGGCGGGGCAGAGATGCCTCAGCATGTCAAATCTTACCTCTGGGTACTCCTCTGAAATCTTTAACTTTTTCCTAAGTGCACAACAGCCTGTTAGAGGCCTTTACTTGGTGGCAGTGGAGAGGGGGTTCTGTCACTCACCCCAAAGGGTGGCCCTTGATCCCCGGTCCTGCCTTGTTCCCCACAGAGAGGCACTGGCACCTGTGGTGCCCACCTGGGCTGGCGTCCTGCCCGCATGACACCACGGTAGACCCCGACCCTCAGGGACACTCAGCTAACCAGACCTGGGGCCCCAGCTGTCAGCCCCTTTCCAATCCTTGGTGGTCTCATCTCGAGACCCTTAATTACATCTGCAAAGGTACTTTTTCCATATGGGGTCACATGCACAGGTTCTGGGTGGACGTGACTTTCGGGGTCGCACAGCGTCTCCTCTGTAGGGGACCCCCTGTCAGCACAAGGACAGGCGTTTCCCCCGTCCCCTCCCCATGGGGTGAGGCGGGGGGCTCCGTCCTGCCCTGGGCTGCTTACCCAGGAGGACTTGGCTGGGCTTTCTCCCTCCGCAGGTGCTGGGCGGGGCACTCCATTTCGTGCAGAGGCTGTGGGGGGTGGTGTTCTTGGCAGCATCTCCTCCCAGAGAGCCCCTTCCGCCCTGAGACCCCGGGAAGGGGCTCCGGAACCCCAGCCCGTAGCAGTGCGCCCATGTCTTTGCTGACCACAGACACTGTCTCTCTGGGGGTCCAGGCACCCTGCTATTCCCATCTCCCCTCCTCCTGCACATCTTCCGGCCACAGTATCAGGGGAGGGGGGGTGTCAGGCCCGCTTTCGTGAGAGCTGCTCTGTGGGTGTGCCTGACACATGGTAACTCAAGTGTGTGCACACCTGCCAGGTTTGCACGCGCCTGTCTCCGTCTCCTGGTGCCCCTTTGAGAGCCCCTACCTGTCCCTCTCCAGGCAGCC